GAGCTCCTGGTCATGGACCTGCATGGAGGGCAGTTGAGGGCTTCACTTCAGACTGACTGCTTGGGGGTGGGCATGTGATGGTGGGCAGGCCAGGGTTGGAAAGCTGGAGGGAGAGAAAAATGTTGGTGTTGATGATGATGGAGCAAAACCAAGCAGCGTGTCTCTTCACACAACTAACCTTCAAATGCAGAAGCCCTTAATAAAGAGGGTTGAAACACAGTTGTTGCTTTACTGTAAAGGCTGATAAAGGCCTCTGTGCTGCTTATGTAATTGTCAGGCTTTCTGCTCTGCCCTTGACAGACAATGAAGGACATTAAAGGGTGCCAACTTTTTTTTTTTTCACATTGATACGTTAATTCAGTGCCAACCAATTGGCTTTCTGAATGAATTGTCACTGTAACAATCAATTATTAAATTTTAGGAGTGGAGCATGAAGCGGTGCAGGGAAAATGCTGTGGTACTTTTCCTGTAAGTAAAGTCCATTGTGATGGCTGAAGATGGAAGAGAAGAGACTTTTCTTTTGTATCAATCTGCTTCCCCTTACGTTGATTTTGATTTTGTTCTCGTATGGTATCTTTCTTTTTTCTGTTACCTGTGTGGCAAACAGTGATGCTGACTGACAGGTTAGGTTAGGTGCTGCTAACATATACACTACTGGCAATTGTGTCCTGAGGTGTTTGCTGCTAGAGGGACTGCAAATGGTATCTGTATAGATAAACCTAGTTTTGAGAGAAATGGTAGCACTCGTTGAACAGGAGTGTTGGAAGGGGAGCTGTGTTAGTTGCTTCTGACAGTGCCTTCTGTAGGTCAGGCCAGATGTTTGAGTTGTGTTGGTGAGCTTTCATCTGCTTGCTGGAACGATCAGCCTAGCCTTGAACTCATGTCAGATACTTCAGTGTGGATGCCTTGCTTTTCTTTGTAAATAGTGATGAATGGAGTAAGGATAAAGGCGTGAAATACAGGTATTTAAATCACATACTGTTTCTGCTCTGATCTCTGGGAGATGGTGCAGCTCCATGGGTTTCTGGAGGTGCTACATCTTCTGCTTTTCTCGGCTGATCTCAAAGATGAGAAATCATTACAAAAATGTCAGATCTGGATGTATTTCATGGTGCCTTCAGAACGTCCTTTACTGAATATCAACTTCACTGACACATGGGTCAGCTGTGCACACGCTTAGCTGAAACATTTCAGGTATTTATTTGTCAGGTCCTGTCTGGAGCAAAATATCCCAGGCTGTTGCTAGAATACAAGAGAATGATGGGAAAACAGGTGTGTGGGATTTATTTTTTTTTTTAATAAAAAATAATTTGGAAAAGATTTGTTTGAGTAGTTGGCATATGTTTTTAACTGTTGTAATGTTTTATTCCAACTTAAGGGCCTTAGACAAAACTCCAGTTCCGGACTTCTTAACAAGTACATGGATAGTGCAAAGTATTGTGTGTAAACCAGTAGAGTAATGCATGTAAACTAGAGATCCTGTTATTGAATTTATAAGGATCTGAAAACAAAACTGCCTAACAAGAGACCAGTTTGGTGTTTTGTCCATGGGAACAGAAATGAAGTATTCAGTACCCATCTGGAAAGAGGAATGATGCTTTAAAATATATGGTCTCTTTAATCACTTGAGTTGATAGCAGTGAAATTAAACTTGATTTTAGTCTGACCGGTTGCTTTTTATTATGCAACAACTATCTGCATTATAATGTATGCATACAGTAACTAACATTTCCCAGGCATCTATGCAAAGGATATGTAATTAAGATTTATTTGTTAAAATGTTATCACTTAATGATTAATTGAATTGGCATATGACATTCATAACTATTAACTCTGCCTGTATTACACTATGCTTATTAGACTGCTAATAGATAACTGGTTTAATCATACGTCAATTAAAAGGATGAGTCGGTTTCATTTATTGCAATTAAAGGATATCTGTAGACTGTGTTTGCAGGAAGTATCTCAATCACACTGAGTATCAGTTGCCCGTCTGGGTTCTGTTACTGGCTGTGTAATGCCCAGCTGAGTCAGTCCATGTATGTGAGCTCCAAAGCCACGTGTCTGGGTTCTGCATCGTGCTGCGCTGTATCTCTCCGTGCTCAGTACTGAGGGAAGATCTGCTCGTGTGGCAAAGCTTAAAGGTCAAGTAGCTTTCAAAGTATGATTTTTTTTGGTATGCTTTTGACTATGCCTTTGACACCAGTATTGAATTTTGGTTTATGGCTTTTTTTTGTTGTTGTTAGAAAACTGATTTTTCTGAGAAAGCTTTTCCTCTTTGCTTTCCAAAGAATACGTGGTGAAGAAATCCTGACTGCCTTCCATTCAGTCGATGCATCATGCTGCTGAGAGGAGTGGATGGAGTGGGGGATGAAGGCTGAGTTTTGCATGGGATGGGCTTAGAGAATGAAATACTGGGGGAAATTTCAAACGCTTCTGTTTCCACATTTCTCCGTGCTGCTCTTGCTGATTTGCAGCAAGTAGAAGGAAAGCTGTGTCAGCTTAGTGTCTAGGGGGGACCCTGCATAGACTAGAGACTTCCTCAGGTGATACATAATGGCAAATCTGAACAGCAGGAGCTGCTTTGTTTGTCCACTTTCCTCATGAACTGGGCATTCTGTCTGGCAGGCAGTGCCTGATAGCAGCACAGGGCACTTCATGTCTGGAACAACTCGGTTGGTCTCTGTGCCATGTAACATTGCTGTGCACACACAACACAGTGATGTGCCTGCTGAGCTCACTAATGCTGTTAAGCTGCATTGCTTTCTGGCTTCTGCTTTGCAATAAGGATGAACAGGACATTCCGTAATCTCACAAGCTTGTTTTCTCCCTCAGCTGGCCCCAAAATCTGGTGGTTTGGATGGAAGATCAGACTCTTCTTCCTCTGGCCAGTGTCTGCTCTTATTGTGATGGTTGTTAAAGAGTACATTGCTCGTTCTTGCGTTACCTGTTAATTACACCTATGCTATTCTTTTTTTCCACTGAATAATTAGAATGTTGAGCAGAATTGCAGTAGAGCCTGGAAAAGTATTTGTCTTTTGGGGAAGAATTTGGCAAAACAATATCTTCTGGGATTTTTTTCTCTTTTCTTTTTAAAGACAGTAGTTATACTTTTCTTTTTAATCAACGATTCAGGGGTGCACTATCTGCAGGAAGTTGTAGGGATGGCTGTAGACCCATGTGACATGAGTACAGTAATCATCTGAGGGAGGTCCTCACAGGGATTATTGGAAATGCAGTAGAAATCCCTTGTGTTCCCTAAAATTTTAGATACAAGAAGTAGCTGCTGAGGTGGTTTTATTACTCTGGGCTTTGTTAGGCAGAGAAGCAGTTCAGAACAAGAGAAGCTGGGAGGAACTGTTGGGTTATCAACTTTGCAGCATTAGGCGTCTGTAAAAAATGCCAATAGTACCCTAATGAGAAGTGTGCTTAAACTGACACAAAGTTTTTATTTAATGTGAGGAATGAGTCCTTACTTAAAAGCAGCATTTCAGCACTTGTTTTGTGCTTGTCAGTAACAGTGGACCATTAAAGTGAGGTGTGCGAGCAGAACCATTGGGAGTGCAGGGAGGAAATGTTGGCACTTCAGTTATACATGTATATAGTCCATAAATATACCTATACTGGGGGGTGCAGGCACAATATCGTTTTGTTTTACTGGTTGGATGTATACAATCAGAATGATTTGGAGACCTTTTTGGAGCTCTGTAATTCTCCTGGTTAGGGAAATGCATGTTTCCAATCTGGACGGGGACTCTGAGTGGCTCTGATGTTTGCTCAGATGCGGAGTAGCCAGGAAACTGGCTGCAAAGGTTCTGATGGGAGAATGCTGTGTATTAATTGGGAGGGTGGTGTTTGTGCAAGTATCACAGTCGTTGACTTGTCTTGAGCAGCTAATTAGTGCGATTATTCCACAGCTGCATTAGTTTCACCACAAAGGTTTTCTCTTGTTTTATCAAAAGGATCAGTGTCTCTGTGAATGTTTCAACCTGACAGGTCTTAAATAGTGAGGCTGTCTCCTCCCTCTGCTCCCTCCCTGCCCCCAGAACGTGTGCTCTGGAAGAGCAAAGTTTGATCTCTGGTGAGAGTAAGCATGGGTCCTCCTTTTGCATTTTCACTGTGAGCACAATACTGATCCTAAACAAACTGCACAAGCTTTCAGCAGTGCTCCTGTTGGCCAGGCTCTCAGTGGCCACAGTCCTGAGATAAGAGCTGGAGGGATGCTGGGCCCTGAGCTGCCCTGTGAAGCTGCCACAGCAGCATTGTGCAGGTAGCACTGAAACTCAGGAGCCAGAGGTAGAGTTTCCCTGCTGGTTTTCAGGCTTGTTGTGTATCTGTTTGGTCCATGGAGTCATGGTTTCCTAGGTGCTTCTGACTCCCCTCCCTTAAAGGATGCGTAGATTGGTGTTTACTTGCCTTAAGAGTTCCACTTTATAGAAATGTCTTATAAATGGAGTCTTCTGGGGGTGAACAAAATGATTGATTGTTTAAGAAGATGTCTCTGCATTTACAGCAAAGTGCTGTGCTTGCCCAGAGTTGGTGGTGATAACCTGAATGGCTCAGCGGGCTTTGGGAAAGGTTGCTGCTTTCATGGAAGAGGTAGATTTATTTATTCTGAGCTAGATGATTAGACCTGGAGTATTGTCTGTAACTCTCAATGAATGCAATTAATTCTTTACATAATTATTTAAAAAATTATGAATATGAGTGCCATAAAAAAATTATGAATATTTTTCTCATGGTTGGTCGCTGTAAAACTTGAAATAGTGAGGCATGTTTTCCAGCTGGATATTCTGGATATTGGTGTTTAGAAGTGGTTGGTTGCAGTCAAGTTAAGGCAGCACAACGCAGCTGCTAAGTACCCTCAGTAGGTCAGCCATGCACCCGTCTTAGTGCGGCATTTCCGTTTGGATTCTGCTCTGCGGTTCTGCAAACCCTGAGGCTGGGATCAATGGAGCCACTGGTAGAAGCTGAGCCATCTCTCTCTGCTCTTCCCACAGCAATTCCGAGCATCCTGGCGCTTCCAAGCCTCCCTTAAGCTCCTCCAGCATGACCTCACGGATCCTGCTACGGCAGCAGCTCATGCGTGAGCAGATGCAGGAGCAGGAGCGTCGGGAGCAGCAGCAGAAGCAGCAAGCAGCCCAGTTCATGCAACAGAGAGTTCCCGTCAGCCAGACACCTGCCATCAACGTCAGCGTGCCCGCCAGCCTGCCCCCTGCCACGCAGGTACCCATGGAGGTCCTCAAGGTACGTCGGGTCCCCGCACTCCACACTCACTCTCTCCGAAATGGGCTTTATGCAATAGGGATGTGGGAGAAATATTTCCAGCACCAAAATCTTGCAAATAAGTTTCGCTTCGGCTTGATTTGCACATTGGTTTGGTGTCCCAGTATTCAAGATTGAAAATCTTGTTAGCTTGTGGCCTTTTTCTTTTCTTTAAACTTCAAGATCTTGGGAAAGAGGTTTTGTTACAAAACTCCTGTTTCTGTTGTTTTCCCATTGGAAGCCATTGTCCGTTCTTTCTGACGCTCAGTGGTTTTCAAAAGGAAGAAATTATTAATAAATACTCAAGTCAATATTTCATTTTACAAATAATGAAAAATATATACGTATGCTTTTAAAAATTGGAAAAAAAAACCTTGCAAAAAGAGGTTTCCCAGAAAGCCTTAATCTGAAATATGGTGAGTTTCCAGCCCCTTGCAACAAGCCTTGGTAATCCTTTTTTGCTTAAATGACTTGTTTGCTGTTAGTAGCTGTGGGTTCCTTGTCCTACTGGAAGCTGTAGGAGCTTGTTAGTATCTCTCTGTCAAAGGGGATGTAGCTTGCTAATTACTCAAAGGGAAATCTTGAACAATTAGAAGAAAAGAGATAACTTCTTGCTCAGAGTAAGTTCATTTTGACTAAAGCAATGTGGAAACATGTTAGTAAAAGAGCATAAAAAGTAAAGGGAAAATATGATGATAGATTTTGTAAGAGTGAAATTTTCATTTATTTTCCAAAGTTATCTATTTGCTTTGCATTATTGCAAATATGCAAATGCAAATATCTCTTTTCCAGTATCTTTTTATTGCAGTTTTATATTTAGTAATTTTTTCAGCCAATAAGCATACTTTTACCAGATAAGTTAACTGGGTTGCAGTACGTTCTTTTGTTTTGCCCATCACTGTTCTATATTAGCGATACATATTCGAAGATTTAAGCTTAAAACAGAGTTGCAGGCTCAGTATTTCAAGGCAGTCTCAGTGTGACTGTTTTATGGAGGAGCTGCAAGTTGTTCTCATTTACTGAATCCGCATTGTGGTGTTGTGTTGACAGTGCTGTTAGCAATACTTGCAGGAATATCAGAATATACTCCAGCACAACCCACAGTGTAGGAGTTAAACTGATTATCAATTATGTATTTAATTTTTGAAGGAAGTGCCTGTACTTTGTGCATATGTGCACATATCAAAGAGTCTGAAACTGACTGGGAGAAGCTATTTTGTTTTAATGTTTGTGCATCCTGAAGTTGCTAAATTTCTTTCTTGGTTATGATCCCAGTTACAGTGTGAGAATCTAGCAGGTATGTAGGTGATATCAGTTAGTTCTGTTCACAATATTTTTGGTTAAATAATTGTATTTTTTGATAATTTCATCCTAATTTATCATAACACAAAATGTAGTTGTTTTTTTTTTTTTTTTTTTTTTTTTCCTACTCTAAATCTCTCTGAAAGCTTATAGGAACATGTGTGCTTCCTGATGCTAGGTGTGCAGTAGCTTGAAGTTTTAGCAGTCGTTTACATTGTCCATTTTACTGCTACCTCTTCACATGAGAGAGAAGGGAAGGATGCAAAGGATTCAGACTTGAATCTTTATCTTTTGGGGTCCTAGAGGAAGCATCTGTCCCCACTTCTACCACTTGGCAGGAGAGAGGGCACCTCCTTGGCACTCTCCTTGTGCCCCAAAGGCGATGTGCTTGACCTCAGAGGGAAAAACTAGCAAATATATGCTTACCTGGTTTGTAAATTGAAAACAATGCCTTGCAACAAATGCCTTTCGGAAACAGAACTGTGCACTGAAGTAGTGGTTGGGGAAATGTGAGCTACCTGATGGAATAAAACAGCCTCTGACTGCCTGTCACCTGCATTTACATAGCTAACAGGCAACAAGAGTGAAACCACATCACTGTCATCTCTTGCACAAGGCAAGAGGCTGCTTTGCTGCTTGGCTCAGAAGTTGTGCCTAACAGTAAATGGGGATCTCCCTGGTGCCGATAGGCTGCCAGCCAGCTGTGCCTGAAGTATGCTGTGCTGGTGACATCACTTCCCTGGAGCTGCTTCTTACACTTCAGTTGTTTTTAGCTGTAGACAAATTGTCCCTATGAGCCTAAACAGCGTTTTTAATTAAATGAATAGGGAACTACATGTGGTAGTTCTAATATCCAGATGGTCTGGATTTAGTGACCTTTAAAGAATGAGATAGTGTAAAAAATGCCCTTTTTGTCTTTCAGAAATGTTAATCTGTGAGGCAGTTTCCTTTGAGAGAGCTTTTCCAATGTTACTTCACAGGCCAATACCGCCAAAAGTAGCAGCTGTTTTATGTAGTTGGCTTTGGTTGATTTTTGTAGAACTTAAAATCACATTAAAAGCCCTAAGCAATCAGAAAAATCACTTGGTAAATTTCCTGTTTGTATTCTGTAATTACACAGTGTGACTTGCTCTGTCTCCTATGTTTCCCAGTATTAGGGGAAGAGTACTTGCACATCTGAAGATGGTAGTTTGGGATGACTAGCATAAAAAGAAGCTGAAACTGTTGATGAGCTTGCATTTTGTATTTCCATGATGGTTATGATGTCATCTAAAACAGCACAGAAAGAGTAATTCATATAAACCTATGTCACATTGCATAGGAATCTGTACATTACGTAATGTGGTCATTACGTTCAAGGGTATGTGAATAAATAGGATTTTATTTTATTGAGTAATGACTTCTTATTGCATCATTTCTCTGCTAAGTAATGTAGCTTGGCAAGGTAGGAAATAACCCGTTGGAATTTAAATTTTGTGTTGCTTTGTAAAATGTAATTATGAGATGGACTAGGAGCAGGTCTATTTCATCTGAAATAACATCACTTCTGATAGCAGGAGGAGGGTTTGTTAGGGCTTTCAGTTGTCCTTCTTCACTACTGATGTTAGTTTCACAGGCATAAAGGCTAATTTATCACTAAGCAGCTTCCTCATCCATATCCTAGTGGTTGAGGAGTGATGCCGCAGAAGGATGTCACAAGGGGTTCTTTGTTTCTCCTCTGCTTCTGGACTTCCTTTTTGCTATCACAGAACTGTTTTTTCACCTGTAGTCCTGGCAGCTGACACTTACATGTGGGGAGCATCTACCGTTGCTGCTTTTTGCTGATGATAGCTTTAATGCTCCCTTCTCACCCATTCCCCATCTCCTTTCTCTATGAGCAGCTTATTCTAAAATTAGTGATCTGCCTGCTGAGTCACTGGTGGCATACAATAATGCTTGTAATATGCTAGGTACTTTAAACGTTTATCTGTCACAGAGGACCTCACTTAGGATTCGTTCTGCCTTGCAGCATAGGTGGGTTTCCTCATGGTGGATGTTAACTGCTCCTTTGGTGCTAAAAATACAGCTCTTGACTGCTGTGTGTTGTCATTGTGGCTTGTTTTCCTTAAACATCTTTTCAAATACTGGACCCAGACGCTCTTTGTTGTGTTTTTGTCCTTCCTTCATCATTCCAAGAGTGTTTGCCCATTGTAGGGCAGTGTTTGTGAGCTGACCAACACAAGTCTATTCATCTTTCCTAGTGCCATCCCTGCAATCACTGTAGTTCATTTTCTCTTTTGCTCTTGCAGCAGCTTTTCCAGAGCCAGCAGGAGCCCAGTGGTGCAGGAGCCCACTCTGGCCTCTTGCTTAACCCTCGTGGCATTTTGCATTCAGATTTTAAATGCACCATCATGAAAAGCTCTTTGCATCAGACACCCTGTATTCCTTCGTATTTGAAATGCCAAGCATGCCTTCTGAGTGGTGATAATGATCATGGATGTATATCAAAAAATACCACCTCCTCATCTTTTTTGTAGTATGCTCTATTGCAAACAGTGACCCATGGTGTTGATATTGTCCTTCTGTTACCAGAGAAGGCTGAGCAGTTAGAAATAGTGCTCCTTGTATAGTAAGTACCATGAAACTCCATTGTATAGCAGACCTATCTTACAGTTCTGAAGAACAGGAACAATGGGATGTCAAGATAAGTGCATGGTAGCATCTGCTACAGTAAGTGTGTGTTTGTGGGAATGCTTATCTGATTCCAAGTTAATTTAATCGAACCTGACAATAGGAGATAGTGGTGTGTGCCAGTATGTTAAATAAGTATGGCTTGTATTTGCAGTTGTAACTTAGAGAAGTGATTTGCCAGAACAAGCCTTGGTGAACTACAGAGACAGCATTGCAGAGCCAGTGAGCATAGCTGAAGCCTACAACAAATTCTTTGTTAGGAAAAACCAGCTTTTAACTACAGAACCTCTGAAGTCTGCCTTGCCTTCTAAACCTTTATGTAAGTAGAAGCATCTCTTGGGCTTGCTTAGTGCGTTGTAAGCTATTCCAGAATAAGAACTAATGATAATGTCTGTAGTTTGGACAAGACATGAAATGTAGAATCTTTCCTAATACAGAGGTTACCAGATGTGCAGGTCTGGGTGTTTTCTGGGAAAATAGCACAGTGAACAGAGCAGGAGCTGTAAAGCTGCTGCTCCTCATAGGGCTGGTGCCTTGCACACAGGCAGCGTGTTCCAACAAGGCAGTATGCTGCTGTGAGGATTTAATTGGCACTCTGCATGGGTGTGCTGAAGGACCAGATCTACTTGGTACTTGGTAGCTTGAAATAACGCTCCTGACAAAGATGAAGCATGATAACCTCTCCAAAGGTAAGGGAAACTTGCCAAGTTGGTTCTATTACTTCTTCAAAGTTTTCTTTCTGCCATATTTTCTGATGTCTGAGTTACCAGGCTTTGGGAAAACTGAGGCTCATTATGTGTCAGGGGCTGCTTCGGAACTGCAGATGAGTTCTGAATGAGTCTTCTCAAAGTTTTGTAGGAGCTCAAAGCTGTGGCTGCTGGAAGCACAGAGGAGTTTCTGCAGCCCACCAGCAGGTTGTAGCAGGCTGTACTTTTTCAGCCAAAGTTAATTAAAAAACCCATCTTACTGCACTGTACTGGTTGAACCCAGATCGTGGAAAGGGGCAGTGC